AATCCCTTCTCCTCCATTCTCCTCTCGGGATCTCGGGCATGCACGCACACGTGCCCGGTGTGAACTTAAGCCACCAGGTCCATGACTCAAACCACGGTCAACTACATGGGAGTCCAGCAAGGTAGCCATTACACCAACTGCTAGTCTCAGATTTAAAATAAACTTCTAAAATTGTCACCAGGGTCTACCTTCTTCCTTCTGAGGATTTCTTGTAGGTCTGTGACACGATTCTCTTCTCCAGCTCTTCTTCAACTCCTGGAAGCTGGCGGCTGTCCCAGGGCTCCCAGGGACCTCCTGGCTAATATCTCCTCTGCCTTTCTGGTGTTGCTTGGACTTCTTTCTGCTGTTCTCTTTGCATCCAACCACCTTCGTTGTCCTGGCCCGTTTCCACATTAGTCAGAGCATGTCTTTTATAACCGACTCGGTTTCTTGTCTAAGGCATCTGCGGTTCTGCAGCTGCACCTGCGGGACCCTAATACACTAACCTCGTAAGAACTCGCAGTGGCACCTGCCTGTAAGCGCCGATAGCCTGTTCTTTGGGAGTTCCCAAGATATGCTGGTGTTATGGCAAGAGAGGTATGTTTTATGGGGTGAAGGAAACCAAAACATTCTCTTTTCAAGATTTGTGAGCTAGGGATTGCCCAGACAGCCCTCTTCCTCCCCCTCCCCAGCCACAGTGATTAGTTGAGATTGCCTCTGTCCGGCCCCATCTCAGAGATGCGAATGAATGATAGGTTATATTCTTATTGGACCTAGGCTGGTACTAATCTTCATTTCCTCCTTTATTTTTCTATTCTTTCTTTCACTCTTAATGAGCAACTATGTGAGGCTTGGTGCATGTGCACCTAGACCTTCCGGAAGTGAGGAAGACACAGCCTCTGTCCTCAAAGGGAACTGAGACGGGAGCACCTGGCTGTGAGCTGACCGGAAGTGGCTCAGACTGTGGACTGTAAGGTTCTAGGGAAGGGCCAGAAAGCCCAGAGGGTAGAGGGATGACATCTGCCCTGGAAGGGGAGACTTTATGAAGAAGAGAGCATGTGTTCTGGTAGTTTTTCCTTCTTTTAGTCATTTTTCAAAGCATGGGTTTGCTTGTCCTTTTTGTACCTATATAGACTAAAACCAGGCACTTTGCTAAGTACTTTGTATTTACTCATTTTCTCATTTTATCCTTCATGGTAACCCACATAATTTTGCTTATAATGTGTTTTAGATTCCCAGTATACCATGCTGTGGTAACTTTATTTTATGAGGTTTTCTGTTATTATTACAAATTACTTGTATAATTTGCTTACCATTTTAAAAATTTTTTATTTTTTACATTTTTCCACAAACATTTACTGTACATATCAAAAAACTCTGCTCATACTCCATAGTTCTTGACAGTTAATAAACAACTTTCATTTAACACTTTGAATATATTTTCCCATTCCTTCCTTGCTCTCATTGTTTCTGATGAGAGAATGAAGGTTTGCCTGATTGAATAACCTTTATAAGTAACCTGACGTTTCTCTCTTGGCAATTTTAGTACGTTGTCTTTGTCTGTAGATTCGGCCAGTCTTGCTGTGATGTGCCTTGGAAAAGATCTTCTTGGGCTGATTCTATGCCCACATAGGGTCCTTTGTATTTCTTGGTTTGGATATTTGGCTGCCTCTCTAGATTTGGAAAGTTTTCTTCCAAGATTTCATGGAATAGCTTATCAAGCCCTTATTAGTTTCCTCGCCTTCTGGGGGACCGATGATCCGTGCTGGTGGGCGGGCCAGGAGGGCCGCTTTCTCAAGATCAGGTTCAGAATTGGCAGCATGCTTCCTGAGCCACTCGGGGAGGCCGGGACCCTGGTCCTGCTGTGTCCCAGAGTCTAGGAGTGCCGTGGCCCTTTCCGTGGATGGCACCCGTGAACTCAGGCTCAGGCCGTCCTCATGGTTTTGTCATTGGAATCCTTAATGTTTCCCTCCCGCCACGCCAGAACCTGCCTTCCAGGGAGTCTGTATTTGGGAAAAGGCAAAGGTCTCTTTTAGGCTAGGGCTTTCTAATGAGGACATGGGGCAGTGTCTAGTTACTGCCAAGAGGGGGGAGCCAGGGTCATAGCACTCCAGGCAAAGCTGCGGTATTCACCTTTGTTTTCTGCCTGCCTTCATTCAGGTTCTTATTAAATTTATTTTCTTTTCCCTGTGTTGGGAGAAGTTACTAACACAGTGACCTCATCCCCCACCCCTATCATATATGCACAAAAACTAAGAAATGCTTTCTCCTTTCATAGAGAAGAGATACCATGTGGCCCCATGAAGGCGGGCCACCCCCACTCCACTACCTACTCCTTAAACCCAAGGAATGTTTCCTTAAAGTTCTTCCATCTAAGGCCCTGCCTGGGTCTCGTGCATTCCCCTTATAGCACTGCGAGGACCTTGAGAGGTCACCGATGCATCTGGCCGCCTCGGGATCCCTCTGTGGCTGCCGTCTGGGGCTGCCCCAACATCTGAGGTTTGCTTTCTGTTTGGTTAGAGGCTTATGTCCCAGTGTGTGTGTCATCTGGGGTAGGGTGAGGTGATGGGGACCTCTGTGCTTAACGGGAGATTTCTAAATGCACTGACTGCTGAGAGGGCTCTGTGAGTGTTGATTGGAGTTAAGCCCCGAGTGGCTGCTAATGTACATTCCTGACTGATAGGAACCAGATAATGTGCTCCAAGCAATATTTTTAACCTGTAGGAGATATGGAAGCTTAGAAAAGTTAAGCTTTTCTGCTACTTTTGGTGACACTGGGTGCTAAATTCCCTGCTGACACGAATAGCATCAGATTCTGGGCATTATCAACAAACAAACAACAACACACGGCCTCCCACCTTTGAAGTCTCTCTTCCATTCTGTCCTTCCCTTGAATTTTTCTTTTTATTCCTTTCTCTAAGTCTGTCTCTGTCCTCCCATATGGTGTCAGGATCTTCCTCTTTCTCCCTGCTTCCCCCAAGTAAAATCGTGGTAAGAGACAGGACAAGGAAGATGTGAAGACGTGGGGAGGTTGCTGAGAGAGCAGGCCCCACCTCCCCGCCTCCTCCTGTTCGGGGCTCAGATGGGGAAGGTGAAGCTGCTGATGGTCGGTACAAACCTGGCTGGTGAGCAAAGGCTGTGTGTGGAAGTGGAGCGTGGTCAGGGCTGAGAGCTGGTCTGCCTGGGTGGTAGGCGAGCTGGAGAGGCCCCTCTGCCGATACCCTTGACTGTGTGTACAGGACAGAGGACCCTCCCTTTCCCCACCCTTCTAGGCACAGGCATCCCACTGGCACACCTTCCTCCTTTCTAATCGCAGGTAATACCAACAAGAGCCTCTCCTCTCCTGTCTCTAGGTGTGGCCTCTGGCCTCGGGCCGGCTGGGGCAGTGCTTGCACACCATCCAGACCGAAGACCGAGTCTGGTCCGTTGCTATCAGCCCATTGCTCAGGTAAGGGAGAGATTTTTGTGTATGGTTTTGTCCCATATAATAATGCTTTTGTTTCACTTGGTCAGATGAGGCAGGAAAGTTTTTATCTGTATAGTTTAGGTTGTTTGAGTCACTCTCTTGATGATTTTAAAATCCTCCAGAGACTCGAACTCTTTCGGGCACTCACATAAATATGGGGTCGAGATCACCTTATAGGGCTAATTTCCTCAGCATCTAATCCCGGAAGTGTTAAGGAGAAGAAATAGTAAGAAGATACTGTATTAGAATGTAATGAACAGTCCGGCTGTTAGCAGGGTGTCACTTCTGGAGCGGATGCCCTCTGGAGTTGCTCCCAAAGTGAAGGCCTCTCAGTGTCCCCGCAAGGGGACAGCCATGGCCAACCTGCCCTGACTGCTGACATCTCTCCTTTGTTCCCCTTGGAAGCTGTCCTCTGGAGTATCCCTTCTAGACCTGAGTTATCAGGAGAGGCCTGAGGCCAGATCCAACAGGTGATCCAAAGACCTGTGTGTGGAGAGCGGAGACGTGGGCAATGGCAGCAGAGGCGGGATCTTTTTGTTGTTTTTTAGACAGGGTTTTGATATGTTGTGATCCTCTTGCCTCAGGCTGCTGTGTAGCTGAGAGTCCAGTAGCCCAGCTTTTTTAGGGTGGGCCAGGAATTGAACCTGGGCCTCCTACACGGTCAGCCTGCCAAGCAGCAGTGTCCAGCTCGTACTCTTGCAGCTGGAGGTGTGGGATTTTTGTTGATGGCTTTACCCTGCTCTCTAAACTGACTGGCGTTTCTCTAGAATTCCTATGACCAGCTGGGTTTCAGCCTCCTTGGTTCTGCTCCCTGGGCTCTCCTGAACCAAGGCAAAGCCTCTTTCCTCTCCGGCAGGGTCGCGGACTCTCCCAGACCTGCTGTCAGTGTCTACCTAGGACCTTCCCCCACTTCCCTTACTGCCTGCTCTTCGCCTGTCTAGGAATAGGGAGGCCGAGGGCTGCCAGCCTCAGCGCTGGCGTAAGTCAGTCACTTGTTTTATGGGAGAGTTGACCGCCACTTTGCTCAGCCCCCTTCAGCCTCTTTCTCCTCACCCCATGGAACCTGCACCCCTCCTCCTGCTCCCTTCCGCAATTCCCTCCCAGAGTTTTTTCTTCCTAAGAATTAGAGCCGATTAGCCACGTCATTAATTCTTCAATTTGACGGCTGATATAGCAAGACCTGAAACACATTGCTGACCCCAGAAAATGGAGACCCCATTCCTTAGCATATTGACGATGGGAGAAGTTAATTAAAATTCCACAGAGCAGAGGTGTCGGCTAACCTATAAACCTGTCGCTGTTCAGAACAAATCATTCTTGCAATCCTAGCAGAGAGAGAAGGAAAGGCCAGCAGGGAGCGGAGAGCAGAAGTGTGTGGGAGCGGAGGTGGGAAACGGGGCCGCCGAGCTTCGTCTCCTCTGTGGCTTCTTCCTAATGTTGCCCTTTTTAAAGCCAATTAGCCAGGCTTGGGGTCTGCGGCCTGGACATGTGTAAGGGTTGGAGGAGGCGGGACAGCCGGTGGGAGGTGGCAGGTGTGCTGGTGGCTTGGTCTGAGTGGTTGCCTGTGGCCGCGGCTGGCGTAAGGAGACCGGACAGGGCATGTGGTAGAGAGAGGCTCTTCAGGGCTGGAGGTAGCCCCTGTGCTGCATGTGGATCGAGGACAAAGAGCACAGGCAGGTTCTTCTCTGCACCCCCACTCCTCTGCCCCAGCCCCTGCCTCTGAAATGTGTTGGTTACCTCTCAACAGGACAGGGCGTGGCGGCTATGGACGATGCTGTCGATGCTGTCGATCAAAGAGGTTGAGGATGTCCTCCCTCGCTCCCCCCCCTTTTTTTTTTTTAAGAGGTTTTTGCCTTAGGGCATGTGTGCTTGCAAAGAAAGAGAGAGAGACAGAGAGTCAGAGGGAAAGTAAGAAATCACACCCTGGGGAGATGGCCACTCCACAATCCCTTCTCCTCCATTCTCCTCCTGGGATCTTGGGCACACACACACACACACGCACCTGGTGTGAGTTTCAAGCCTCCAGGTCTGGGCCTTTAACTGTGGCTGGCTCTGTGGGAGTCCAGTGAGGTCATCGCTATGCCATCTGCTGGCCCCCACTCTTTCTTTCTTTTTTAATTATTTCATTTAATTTTGTCTGCTTATTTATTTGTTTATTTTTAAATTTGACCAGAGGAGGACAGAGAGAGAGAGAGAAAGAGAGAGAGTGAAAAAACAAAGTACTAGGTCTGGGACTCAAGCTGGGGTTGGCCACGTGGGAGCCCAGTGCCTTATCCACCAAGCCACCTGTCAGCCCCACCCCGCTCTTTCTTAAGAAGTATTTGAAATCACAAACCCAGTTTGGGTTTTTGGTCACAACTCGGAGACTGGCTTTGGGGAGGGCCCAGCTCTCCAGTACCTCTCCCATGCGTATCTGACCGGCACTGCGATAAGCCGCTAAGGCCTGTTAGTCGTCTGCTCCGTGCCAGACCCTCTGCCAGGGCCTTGACCTGTCTCGTCTCTGGTGAAGACCCGAACCTTGGGTTGTCTTACATTCTTCCTCAGAGTCACCTTGTGCTCTTCGAACCGGGGATGGTTCTATCATTCGTAGTTGGCTGGCTGCTCAGCTCCTACCCATGCTTATTTGAGATGGCTTTTCCTCCACAGATGATGTCTTGGGTTCTTTTTACAATTAGTCGACATCTGGAATTCTGTCTTTACACTAGATGAACAGAATAGAATGTGTTCTGGTGTTCTCACTGTCCCTTTTTCTCTTACCCAAAGAACAGGCTGGGATAAGATGTTTTTACCTTATTATTATAATAGATCCATCTCCGGGACCGGCAAGTGGTGTGGTGGTTAAGGCGCTGGACACTCCCACATGGCCGACCATGGTTCGAGTCTCAGACCTGGTGGCTTGCTTTCTCACTTTCCCCTCTCTCTATATATATCTGTGTCTCTCTGGTCAAATTAAAATAAATGAATGAATGAATAAATGAAATTGAATAAAAAAAAATTAAACTGAATGTTTTAAAAAAATAGATCCATCTCTTCTCGCTATGTCCGTGAACTTGAAGCTCTCAATGAGCTCATCCATTTTCCTTAACCTTGGGAGACACTGCCACCAGCCCCAGGGTCTGCTCTGCAGCGCAGTCTGGGAGGGCTGCTCGTGACTGGGAGATAGCAGGTGTTTTTGTTTTTGTTTTTGGTTTTTTTTTTTGAGAGGTTTTTGCTACAGGGTATGTGCGCTCTCCAGACAGACCAGGACAGAGGAATGTTTTAAAAAAATAGATCCATCTCTTCTCGCTATGTCCGTGAACTTGAAGCTCTCAATGAGCTCATCCATTTTCCTTAACCTTGGGAGACACTGCCACCAGCCCCAGGGTCTGCTCTGCAGCGCAGTCTGGGAGGGCTGCTCGTGACTGGGAGATAGCAGGTGTTTTTGTTTTTGTTTTTGGTTTTTTTTTTTGAGAGGTTTTTGCTACAGGGTATGTGCGCTCTCCAGACAGACAGAGACAGAGAGTCAGAAAGTGAGAAATCACCCCCCGGGGGGATGGCCATGCCGCAATCCCTTCTCCTCCATTCTCCTCTCAGGATCTTGGGCACGCACGCACACGCGCCTGGCGTGAATTTAAGCCACCGGGTCCGGGACGTGACCCGCGGTCGACTACGTGGGAGTTCAACGACATAGTGATTCCGCTAACTGCTGGTCCCAAGAGCAGGTGTTTGAGCTCATGTCTTGGTGTCCTCTTTCCTTCCTTCTGAGACCCTGACTTTTTCCTTTGTAAATAGTCATGCTCGATGATATTTAATATCAGAACATGCTGAGAGCGTGTGTGGGTTCTCACAGAAACAGACAAAAACCAGTAGATGCCAAAGGACGGTGCCAGGCAGGGATCTTCTCCTCCACCTCTTGGGTCCCCTCCTACCCATCTTCTCATCCCAACACCAACAATCTACATCATTGTAGAGCAGAAATATTCAGCCCGGAAGAGATACAACTTCCCAAGGTCGCACTGAATTCTGAGCACTTTCTCACAAGTAAAATGGAAAAGCAGATTAAAAAAAATTATTTCTAGCTGAATAAAGTTAATATTGGTCTGTCAGAAAAGTCATGATGCATTTTTACAAAAAAGAAAGAAAAAATGTGTCATGACTTTTCTGACACCCCAGTGAATACCCAAGAGCAAAGAGATGCAGAACTGTTAAGGACTTGCCTCCACGCCCTCGCCTTCCCACCTCTTTCTTGCTCATTCTGTTTTCACCCTCCCCCCTTGCATTCCCTGAACACTTGCTCTATGGCACCTTCCACAGGGGTATAATCCATCGGTGGTGGGGATAAGAGGGTGCAAAGTGTGAGGATTGCCAGACCACACAAATTGTTTTAAACTAGGCTGTCTCTGTTGATGGTTGGGGAAGGCGTCATTCTCTCAGGGCAGAGAGATCGAGGCAGGGGAGATCCCAGCAGGGCCATGTGTGGGATATGTTAGAAGAGGCAGCAGTTTGTGCCCAGGCCTCCAGCCCATTGCCTTGTCTGTGTGCTGAGAGAGGATCGTGAGGGAGGCTCAGGGTCATTGCTGTGCCTTATTCACCAGCATCTTAGATGGAAGCCTTGAAAGGCTCTGTGGAGGCCAGCAGGTGGCATAGTTATTAAGGTGCTGGACTCCCATGTGGCTGACCAGGGCTTGAGTCCTGGACCCAGTGGCTTAAAACTCATGCTGGGCATGTGTGTGCGCGTACTCAAAATCCCAAGGGGAAAATGGGGGAGAAGGGACTGTGGCGTAGCCATCCCCTCTGGGGGGATAATTTCTTGCCTTCTGCCTCTCTGTCTCTCCAGTGAGCGCACATGTCCTATAGCAAAAATCTCTCTTAAAAGAAAGGGGCCAGCAGGTGGCATGGTGATTAAAGGAGTTGGTCTCCCACATGGCTGACTGTGGTTTGAGTCCTGGACCTGGCAGCTTGCATCTTCACTTTCCTTCTCTCTCTGGTCAACTTCAATAAAA